AGGTCCCATTGTGATAACTCCTCTCCAATGACTTTCATTATTGGGGGCACAAGAGGGCATGCTAACTGCAACTAAGAATATTTAAAATGAACCTAAGGGCAAAGGATGGTTACTTGGTGAAGGCAAAGCAACGCAGTAGCCACACTTAGGAAAGAAGTCCATCTCAGTCAAGTGGAAAAACTCACTGAATAATGACCTGTCTGCCATCAAATTATTTTGCCTAAGTTTGGTCACTTAGCAATGTTCTCTGGGGAGACAAGAGTAGTCAGGTTCTAGGCCCTGGTTGGTGGGCCATGCTGCAAAGTAAACTAAATTAAAACTTCAATGCTGAAAACCAAGAACCACAATAGCAGGGAGAAAAAAGACCAGGAAGGATCAAGACGAAAATGCACCCACGCTACTCAACTCAACAGAATTGCGTTGATCTCCTCAGGCCCATTTAGGAAAGGATGTTTTTACAAGTGAAAGCAAAGAAGTCAGTCAAAAAATGCTTGTTATTTTTAAGAAAACACTACCACCGTCCTTGCATTTGGGTATGTACCAGCTACCTTAGGAGGTAAAATACTGTAGCTTGCTATCAAAACATTTACTAAAAGATTACAGGTAGCAGCTAAGTTCCTTGTAAAGGTTTGTTGTGGGGTTGAAAATGGACAGACGTGAAGCAGTTATGTGTCATGAATGTTCTTTCCATTCTGAAGCAAGCAAGCAAGGTTAATTACACACAAACCACTGTAATTAAGAGCATAAGCACAGGACTATGTTCTCAAATTCCAACTGCACCACCAGGGCTATGACCTTGGTTACTTACACCAATGGTTTTCAATCCAGTGGTACCTGAGAATCATCTGGAAGCTTATAAAATACCGATAGCTCAGAAACTGCCTAGACAAATTAGAGCCAAATGCCGGCATGTCTAATTCTAGAGGTTACTAGCTCCCAGACATGAGGCTGTTGCTAAGATTCACACTTCTCCACTGCTTCAACAGTTACTCCCTCTTCACATCAAGCACACAAGACTCACAACAGTAGCCCCCAATACTTCAGGTTACATACAGGAAATGCAATGTTTAATGCTTACTATGACATACCAGTCTACCACAAAAAACATACCCCAAATCTTTTAAAAAATTTTCAGTATCATGGAGGTTTAACTTAGACTATCACAACAAATACTAATACATATTAAGGCAAACACATCCAAAATAGAAAGTAAGAGACAGATGGTAAAAGACAAATATGCACTAAAAACTTAACTCCCCCAAAATCTCAAGGTTTTACCTCTGGCACTTTAAGTAGACAAGGTTACAAGTGCACCTGTACCAGACAGCATAATCTAAATGTTTTCTGGACGCCAGCTACCCCAAAGCCCTATGCTACATCATCAAAAGCATGTGCAATTTTTCGTACATTGCAGTACAGTGCGGCAGTGGACTCCTAAAAGTAAAACCAGTGTCACTCCATTAATGCCATCACTGTAACTTTTCATTGCAGTACAGCACATTGGTTGTGTAGGGAATAGAATTCTTTTTTTTTTTTTAAAGATTTTATTTATTTGACAGAGAAAGACACAGCGAGAGAGGGGAACACAAGCAGGGGGAGTGGGAGAGGGAGAAGCAGGCTCCCAAGGAGCAGGGAGCCCAATGCGGGGCTCAATCCTAGGACCCTGGGATCATGACCTGAGCTGAAGGCAGACGCTTCACGACTGAGCCACCCAGGCGTCCCAGGAATAGAATTCTTATCTGCTGTAGGGAAAGGAAGGAATCTTTTCAGTTGACTTTAAAGTGTCAAAGCAGGCGCACCTGGGTGGCTCCGTCAGTTAATTAAGCATCCAACTCTTGATTTCAGCTCAGGTCATGATCTGGGGCTTTGTGCTCATCTGGGAGTCTGCTTGAGATTCTCTCTCTCTGCCCCCCCCCCCTAAAATAAATCTTCAAAATAAAGTTTCAAAGATACTGAAATTAACATTAAAAAAATTTTTTTTTAAATTTTTTGACAGACAGCGAGAGAGGGAACACAAGTGGGGGAGTGGGAGAGGGAGAAGCAGGCTTCCCGTGGAACAGGGAGCCCAATGTGGGGCTCGATCCCAGGACCCTGGGATCATGACCTGAGCCCAAGGCAGACGCTTAAAGACTGAGCCACCCAGGCACCTGAAATTAACATTTTAAAATACTACTTAATAGGGGTACTGTTGATCTTGGGGTCCTGCATTGGGCTCCCTGCTCAGCAGGGAGTCTGCCTCTTCCCGTAGCTCATGTTCTCTCATGCACTCTCAAATAAAATCTTTATTAAAAAAAAAAAAAACTAACATAGCTTTGCTATGCATACCTAAGTTAGATGGAACATCTTTTTTGAGAGCGCATGCATGAGCAGTGGGGTGGGGGAGGGGGGCGGGGCAGAGGGATAGGGAAAGAATCTTAAGCAGGCTCCACGCCCAGTGTGGAGCAGGACCCAGGGTAGAGCAGGACACAGGGCTTGATCTCCCGACCCTGAGAACATGACCTATTTTTTTAAATCTAAGCTCCAAAGCCCAATGTGGGGCTTTAACTCAGGACCCCAAGATCAACAGTTGCATGTTCTACTGAGCTAGCCAGGCACCCCTCAATGTATAGATTCTTCTTTTGACTACTCTTTATTAAAAAAATAAGTTTGGAGGCAAGAGCTCCATCTGATCCACTCCGTTTAGGTCATGTTGAAGCAGCTTCAAGAGGCTGAGGCGAAACAGCTATTCTAGAAGTATGCAAAAAGGCAGCAAAACTGAACAGGGATGCAAAGATGAAAATGTTAGACGATGCAAAATTCATTGTAGCACCTCCACTTATCTTTCCATCATCTCCTCGATCCTGCAGGGATAGAAATCTCAGCAAACCTTACAGAAAGGGGGGATTGGTTTCTGACCCAAAAGTGAAGCGGCTAAACCCCAAACAAACCTCCCATTTGACAGAACCATTCACCTATCAAGGCAATGCTACTTACTATCTGAAAACAGTTTTTAAAAAGTTGCTCAAGGGGGCGCCTGGGTGGCTCAGTTGGTTAAGCGACTGCCTTCGGCTCAGGTCATGATCCTGGAGTCCCTGGATTGAGTCCCACATCGGGCTCCTGGCTCAGCGGGGAGTCTGCTTCTCCCTCTGACCCTCTCCCCTCTCATGCTGTTTCTCTCGCTTGCTCTCTAATAAATAAGTTGCTTAAGGGGCGCCTGGGTGGCTCAGTCGTTGGGCGTCTGCCTTCAGCTCAGGTCATGATCTTGGGGTCCTGGGATTGAGCCCCCCATCAGGCTGCCTACTCAACGGGAAGCCTGCTTCTCCCTCTCCCACTCCGCCTGCTTGCATTCCCTCTCGCTGAGTCTTTCTCTGTCAAATAAATAAATAAAATCTTAAAAAAAAAAAAAGTTGCTTAAAACCAAGTCTTACAGGGCTCCTGGGTTGCTCAGTTGGTTGGGTGTCCAACTCTTGGTTTCAGCTCGGGCCATGATCTCATCTCAGGGTCCTGGGATTGAGCCCAGTGTCAGGCTCCACGTTCAGTGGGGAGTCTGCTTGAGGATTCTCTCCCTCTGTCCCCCTCCAATAAATAAAATAATCTTAAAAAAAAAAGTCTTACAACAAATCCTTAATTGCTACAGGAACTGCTCATTGGCTCTCAGCAATTAGCTTGGATTCCCTAGAATACACTATTTTCACATTGTACTTGCTCAGTCATCAAGGTCAATGCAACTAAATGTAACCTTATGAAAGAACACTTATGTAGCCTGTGAATAGGCCCTCAGTTATGTGTATCAAAGGGCTTGAAACAAAAGGCTGCTAGGTACTACAAATGCAGCACAAAGGACAGTTGTGCGAAGCAAAGCAGTTCTAAATATCTCACTTGCTAGGTTTTCCAACTTGAGGCTGGAAACCTTGGGGGAAAAGAACCCCATGTGTACCACCCCCAAACCGGAATCTACATTTAACAGTGATGCCTTTGAAAACAGGTCTTCCTTTACGCTTTTACTTGCAATAGAAACAAAAATTATCAAGACATTTAACATGCAGGGTGCCTGGGTGGCTCAGTCGTTAAGCATTTGCCTTAGGCTCAGGTCATGATCCCAGGGTCCTGGGATCGAGCCCCATCGGGCTCCCTGCTCCGCGGGAAGCCTGCTTCTCCCTCTCCCACTCCCTGTTTGTGTTCCCTCTCTGTCTCTGTCAAATAAATAAGATCTTAAAAAAAAAAAAAAAGATATTTAACATGCTTAGTTAACATCTATCATTTGCTCAATACAAGTATCAAAGGAAAAAGAAACTTGTTTGCTTGTGTTCATGAGTTAAAGGACCTACATGTCAGGGAGCCACACTTTTTTTCTGCCTGCTTTTGACTATTTATTAGGCAAAGTAGAAATTGGCCAGACACCAACATCTTAATCCTGCAATGGTATAGATCACAAATTGACCAGACTACCTGAGGATGAAAAACTCACAATATAGATCCAATGTGAAAAATCACATGGCATTGTGAAGGGAAAAAAATAAACTAAGCTGGGAAAGCATAAGCCACTAAGTATAATTAGTTTAGCTGGGGGGGGGGGAACGGGTGACGGACGGGGACAAAAAGAGGACATAGGGTGGGACAGATACTTGAGTAGGTTCTAGACTCCAGGTAGCTGTCATTTTTCAAGCAAGTTAAGCTTCCACTAACTCATGTTTAAAGTAAATTCGTTCATTAAACCAAATGATTTCTAAGGTCCATCTCAACTCTAGAACAAATCCTAGAAAAACAAGAATCAGCCATTTCAGAGCCTTGTGAAGCCCAGGAAAAGTATTAAATGCTAAAATATAACAATGGCATTAAAACTATCAAGAATGAACATAAAGCTAAAGGGCAGCATTATAATGGGTTACAAAAAGAATTTTTTATATCCCTGCAAAACAGGACACCAAAGGATCTAAAGCTTATGCTTCCTTGTAATAGCTAATTTTCATCACTGAAGACATGACTGAGTTAGTACACAAAGAAAAGTCCAAACTGTCAGCTTTTAGTCCTCCACATTCCCCTTTAATATGGCATTTTGCACTATATACATTAATGAAAATTTGAAACAAACAGAAAGAACTTTAGTCAAACTCCCCTTCCTCCTCCAGCTTTATTGGATAGTTTAAAATTACATTTCTATTTTCTAGGACTTCAGTTGCTTTTTCCATCTGACTTTTAAAAACTGATTACAGCAAATGAAACACAGTTGTCTAAGTGATATAGTATACAAAAATAACATCTTGATTTCTGTGAAAATGCATTTCTCTGCAATTCCTGAATAACTCCAAATTATGCTAACTCTGAGCATAGATGTTTACTCTGGGTTTTAGATTTAGTCTTTGAAAAAAATGTGTTCTAAACCTTTGCCATCACCTTATGTATATTCAGCATCAACGCTGTGATGTAGTTGTTCCTGTTTAGGCCTTTATCCCGTTTTTTTCTCGCACAGCCATTAACACACATTTGTCTTTTTGTTTACTCCCACTCAACTGTATGTTCTATGTAGGGCCTGATACAGATGTTACTTGATGTTATTTAATAGCTACTGAGGTCAGACAATCCAAGGCCATCGTTATGCTAAAATTAAAGTTATTTATGGAAGCTCATAAATACTTCCAGAATTGGTTTTATCTCCTACATGGGAACATATCCAAGAAACCCAGAACGGGCTTACTGGTCTGACTCAACTCTTCCCATTCCTCAATCCCTATTCACCAGTGGCGCGGAAAGGGGGTTCTTTAACAAAGCATTATACATAACACTTCTACCAAACTAAACATAAACTTTTTTTTTTTGTAGTTAAATGCAGAAAGTCGATTTTTTTCCACCCCTTTCCTCCTTTTACACGGCAAGTAAAGCTCACTGGCCTGGGAGTAGCCTCTATCTGCCAACCTTTGGCCAGTGAAGAGGATTCAGAGAAAATAATACAACCATCAATCAGAAAAAGGAGGGGCGACAAAGGAAAATAATTAAGCTGTGGCTTCAATCGTGCATTCCCGTGCAAGGTGCCCTGACTCGCCACAGCGGTAACAGTTGACTTCACTTGTCTTGCTGCAGTTGATGGCTACGTGACCAGTTTCACCACACCTTAAAAAAAAAAAAAAGTTTTCACAATGTGCTCAGAAAACGCAAAACTGTACTGAAGCAATAGTAACTGGAACAAAAAGCAATTGGCAAATGAAGCAATGCATTTTCTCCCTCAAGAGTCTCATTAACCCCTAAACTAAAAGCAGGAAGGAGAAATTAGATAACAAAGTACTCAATTATGAAGCCTAAACCATAAAATTAAGATTTTCACCCTAAGAGATCCACCAAAAATTCCGAAACACCAAAAACAGGGGCACCTGGGTGGCTCAATTGGTTAAGTGGCTCTTATATTTCCGCCCAGGTCATGATCTCACAGTAATGAGATGGAGCCCATGGCCCATTCTGTGCTGGGCATGGAGACTGCTTGGGATTCTCTCCCCACCCCCAATGCTAAAAAGGACATTGACCAAGATGTACCTTTTTCTTAAGTTTTATTTATCTATCTCTACACCCAGCGTGGGGATATGATTTTGAGTCCCACACTGGGTGGGTGCCCCAAGATGTACCTTTATACAAATTAATCCCTAAGACTTCACTGGTATGTACTTACCAAAACTTTAAAGTTTTGTACCTTAAATATGTACATTTTATTGTATGTCTCATCCACAGACAAAGATTTCCGGTTGCAGGACAGAAGATTTGTGTATTGGAATTATCGTTTTCTACAATGCCTCTGAAAACTCCAAATTACAGCATAACATTCTTATTTTTAAAACATTAAAAATTCCAAGTTGTGTAAGTTGTCCAACTGCCATAGCTACAAGCCATGATGGCAGAATAGTGACTAATATAGACAGGCCACTGGTTACATATGCTGAAAATCAGTATCAACTGGTCACAGCCAACCTTCATTAATGTGCTGGTCCACAAGGCCCTTGCCCTTCCATTTATACCTAACTCACCTCTAAAATAATCTCTGCCATAAGCCTTCCTCCAGCAACACCATAACAACTTACCTATAGCACTTCACTTTGGTGCAGTCTTTTTGAATGTGTCCAAATTCTCCACAAGAATAGCACTTCTGCTCATCCGCATGGTCACAGTCACGAGCCAGATGGCCTGGTTTGCCACAGTTGTAGCAGCATTGCTCTCGCTCTCTCTTGGGCTCCTTGCAGTCCTTGGCAATGTGGCCACCTCTACCGCAGTTATAGCAGGCTTCAACAATAAGGAAAAGAAGCAGACCAAGACTATAAAACCTTTACAAAACACTATTATGTTTTAAGCCATACAATACAAAACCTCAAAGGTAAAAATGTCTTTTCTAATGCTACGTGCAGCAGTAGTACATGCTCACCTCTCCAAATTCTAGAAGGGTATTAAAAGGAAGTGTTAAATACTTACCATCCTCTTGAAGATCACAATCCTTGGCAAGATGACCAGACTCACCACAGCGATAACAGATGTCTGGAAGAGATGAGGAAACAAACTGGAAACCTATTTTGGGTAAAAACAAAAAGAATTCGGCTAATTAGACCAGTCTTGATACTAATAAATACTGAAGTGCTTCAAATTTTTTTATTCGACAAAAATACCTCTATCCGAGGTAAAACCACCTCTGCCACGGCTTCTCATTCCACGACCACGGCCTCCACCAGTAGGGCATTCCCGGGCCCAATGGCCAGATCGTCCACACTTGAAACACTCATTGCTGCTCATGGCTGCAGTCAGATCTTCGAAATATTAAAAATGACATTGTTAAACTACTTGAAATTACTTTTAGCTTATATTGTCCTTTGAGTGTGTTTTTGGATAATTATTCTGGGGGAAGAAGCCAGCATATATACTGGTTAGGCATTAAATACCTATTGAGAAATATATTAAAAGTGAAAAACTGTAACACACGTATTTTGATATAATTTCTGATTGTTAAAACCATTATGATTATGAATATATGGATTAATACAAATGTTAATTTAGTTATTAAAGGGGTGATGGAATTTAGAGGGTATCAATGCACATCCATTATTAGAAATGTAACACCTCATTCAAGGTCTAATTTAATGGACACATTTTCATGGTTACAAGCCAGTAAACTTTATTTTGGGCAAATGGAAGTTATTTAATGGTCATAAAATTGGAATAGTTCAAAACAACAGAGCTGTGGTATGTACTTTGAGAGTAAGGGGTAGGGTAAAGAAAAACTGTTTCTCTCTGTAACTTTAGCATCTAACAGTGCCTAGTTCTACTGCAGCACTTGTCTGAGGACTCTTTAGAGCAAACATGTAAGAAGAAATGCAGTATATAAATTTTCTCTAGAGGATACAGTATGCTAAAAATATTAGAAAAACAACAAAAGGATATACCAAAAAGCATCTAAAGCACCGGGACCATTTTTTCTCTCTTTTATTCTCTTCTAAGTTTTCCTGTAGTTTTACATTTAAAACAAGGGTACTTGGAATTTCACAACAGATTCCTTTTTGGGTATTATTTATAAAGGGGAGGGGGCAAAACTCCCACTAAAGCAAATGAATTTTATACTTATGTAACAATCTAAAAATAAACAGGGACTATTCCTGGAATAGAATGTAATGTTGCAGGAGAAACTCCTAAGAAAGTGGTTTTTAAAAAACAAACTATCTCAGAACAATGTAGTAACTTTTACATTTCCACACTTCCACATCTGAGTATTTTTACCCTTATTTCCAGTGCCAAGCCATGGTACACCAAATTTTTTAACTACCCTCTCAAAGCCACAAGCACCACGATCTAGCAAAACATATTGTTTCAACTAAGACTGACTAGTTAAGTGGAATCATCTAAACCAACCACAGCACCAAAACTCAAGTGACAGTGAAATGGCAAAGTCCCCCCTCCCCGCCATCCTTTCAGTAACTGGTTCATTGCTAAGTCATAGAGAATCCAGTAACTAAAAATTAAGCTAAAGTTCAGTTTCAAAAGTTTCCATTGTCAAATATTCAAAAGAACTCAATACTTATCCCAAATCTCTGCTATCAGATGCACTGTAAGTTTTCAAAGGGATCTTTTTTTTTTTTTAATTTTATTTATTTGACAGAGAGAGACACAGCGAGAGAGGGAATACAAGCAGGGGGAGTGGGAGAGGGAGAAGCAGGCTTCCCTCTGAGCAGGGAGCCCGATGCAGGGCTTGATCCCAGGACCTGGAATCATGACCTGTGCCGAAGGCAGACGCTTAACGACTGAGCCACCCAGGCGCCCCCAAAATAAATAAATCTTTTTTTTTAAATAGATTTTATTCATTTATTTGAGAGAGAGAGAGAATGAGAGAGAGCACATGAGAGGGGGGAGGGCCAGAGGGAGAAGCAGACTCCCCGCCGAGCAGGGAGCCAGACGCGGGACTTGATCCAGGGACTCCAGGATCATGACCTGAGCCAAAGGCAGTCGCCCAACCAACTGAGCCACCCAGGCGTCCCAATAAATAAATCTTTAAAAAAAATGTTAGTGGTTTCAGATGCATAATGCACATTTCTAGTCAGAAGAAAACAGCCAGTAAAGATTAAAAATGTATTTTTGCAAAATATTAGATTACATTTGCTTTCTTTTACTGGTATTAGCCTTTTTAAGTCATGTAAAGTACTGGTTTCCACCAGAGAAGTTAGGATAAAAAATAAAAAGATCACAGAAGAGGGCTGCTTATGGTACCTTGTCCTCCCCTCTAACCTCATTTTCATTTTGCATCTTCTCCAGTTTATAGCCAGACCAATTTATGCACATTTAACTATTGCTGTCAATGAGTTCTTTGCACTGAAATGATCACTTCCTTTACAAGGTAATACGGGCAATTTGACAAGTCCTGAGTAGTTTATCATTTAATATTTAAACAAGAGGGGCTGCTCCTGGATGGCTCAGTCGGTTGATTGTCTGACTCTTGATTTTGGCTCAGGTCATGATCTCAGGGTTATGAGGGCGAGCCCTGTGTCTGGTTTCACGTTCTGCAGGGAATCTACTGGAGGTTCTCTCTCTCCCCCTCTGCCCCTCCCCCCTGCTCATGCCCACGCTCTCAAAATCTTTTATAAAAATTATATATATTGGGCGCCTGGGTGGCTCAGTCGTTAAGCGTCTGTCTTCGGCTCGGGTCATTGATCCCAGGGTCCTGGGATCGAGCCCCATATCGGGCTCCCTGCTCGACAGGAAGCCTGCTTCTCCCTCTCCCACTCCCCCTGCTTGTGTTCCTGCTCTCGCTCTCTGTCAAATAAATAAATAAAATCTTAAAAGAAAAGCATATAAAAGTTATATATATCTGTAAGTACAAATAAGGTAACATCTTTTAGAAAACATCACAATCCTATATATTCAATATGCATTTCTAAAGCTAGTTTCAGACAATCACCCCTTTAGACTGATGCTTTAAAAGAACATGGTTTACTTCATAATAAATTTCAAAGGGAATGTGTTATAATGAATCATCATGTTTATCAGTGGAATAAAGTCAGCAGGTAAAATTTTAGGTTTACTTTCACCACAGAAATAGGAGTTTAAAAAACTACTCAAGTACTGATTAATCTATGTGTACATTTTCATTAACTGTTTTCTTCGTTTTGTCTTATCTCTATTCATGGGACCCAGATCCAAAATGAAAAGAAAAAGAAATGATAGGAAAAGTACTTCTGGAAAGATGACAACTAGTTAAAATAACATTAAAGTATTAAACACTACACTCTACTTCTTCTCACCCTAATTCCTAACTGAAATTTGGTTAAAATGTGATCATTTCTATATGAACCACAAATTTAGGGAAAGCAGTATTTCTCCATTTAGACAGTAATTAATTCTACAAAACAAATATGCAACTTTATACATGGTAACTAGTTTTAGATATCTGCTTTGCCATCGACAAATTTCAGTGTCACATAATTTCATTTACCGAGTAAATTAATGTTAAAAAAAATACTAAATCTTAAAGGGAAAAGAAACATTTCATTTACATCCCAAAGACCCATCATCAGTAGGCCACATGCTTTTTAAAAGATCTTCCCAGTGGGTTTAGGTAATGTGTATGCAATCTGCCTTCTCCCGCCCTTTGGCCTGGACAATCAGTCAATTAAGCTGTTCTACATTTTCAGAGCCCCTGTGATAGATTTGTCTCGTAACATTAAACCAACCGATTCCCACTATGTTTTAGAGACCTGCCACTTATCCTAGAAGCAGGTCCCCATCCTAATATTCATCTTATATGCAAATGTATTTAGTTATAATGTCTATAGAAAATTATATGCTATTCCCTATGAAAAGGAGAGGCAGTTAGGTAAGATAGCTGAGATTTATGGTTCTGTGGTTCTCACTGCCTATGACCTCCTGGCTGAAATTTTACTGCACCATCCTGCCTCCGCCCCCCTCCACCTGTCACAACCTTTTCCAACCTTCAGCCGCCAACTCAAATGCCAACTCTTATAAAAGAATCTGACCGTATCTCCAGCCTGGAACTCTCCTTCCTAGTAAAACCCACAGTACTTTATTAGTATCTGTCTCATAACACTACCATACTGACTTTTATCATATTCCTTGAGGACATAGACCAAGTAATTCACCTTTCAATCATCACAACACCCGCCCCCCCATGTAATTATCCTTTTAGTAGCAGTTATACTCAGTATTTTAACTGCTTGGGGTTAAGGGACAATTATAATCAGTTGCTGAATGAAACAAACTGTGTTTCTTGTACTGACCCAACCCAATCTAACAAAGTACTAACACCTAAATGCTTGCTATCACAAGAGTTACTGCACCATTAATTTAAAGTAACAATGTAGGGGCGCCTGGGTGGCTCAGTGGATTGGGCATCTGCCTTCAGCTCAGGTCATGATCCCAGGGTCCTGGGCTTGAACCATGAGTTGGGCTCCCTGCTCAGTGGGTAGTCTGCTTCTCCCTCTCCCTCTGCCCTTCCTGCCCCAGTTTGTGTGCTCTGTCATAAAATCTTAAAAAAAAAAAAGTAACAATGTATTTCTAAATTATGTACTCATTAAGGATGTACTATCACTCTAAATTTAAGAATGATAATTTCAGATTATCTAATAAAATCCTATTACTCTTAGAATTCACAATCAACTAGACCTCTAATATTTTATGGAATGCTACAAAACATTATCTACTAATGAAAATAAAAGACAAAATGCTGTATTTTCACTGTTGCCAGGCAGAAGGAGAGCATATATTCTCTTCCTTTTGTTGCTAAAAGTCATTGCTTGTATCTACACTGATATCGTCACACAATAAAGATTTGGGGACTCTAACAGGTAAGCCTGGGTTAACCACTTAACCACCTGCTGTGTTACCTCAGACACTTGAGGTCTGTCCTTATCAAGAAAAGATAAAACTCATCTGTGATGAGAAATGTTACCAGGTGTCTTGCCCTTAACAGGTGCTCAACTCAAAAAACTTTGGTTTATATCCCCTGCTTAGTCTTTCTATTCTCCCCTCAATTAAGTTAGACTGCTTACAGGTGGATTAGAACACTGTGCAATGCCTACAGAGCAGGCTTAGAATAGGGCAAATTCTGCTTACTCAAGTCTCCCGTCTCAAAGTCTACTTCCTGAATGGAATGAAGAAGTAAGAAAAATGGGTAAATGCCAAACAACTTCACATTTCCAACAACCGAAATCAGTTATGTTTCCATTTCAATTTTTGTGTTATCAAATTTCATGACACAAACCACACTTAAAGAAATGTAGGAGCACAGGGCATGCCAGGCAGCAGT